TGATGTTTAAAAGATGAATATGATTTAGTTTAATTTCACTTTCAAGATGTAAAAGTGAAAAATGAGTATGAGTAAATATGAATGATTTAGAGAATATGATATATGATGAGATTGATTGAGTAAAAGATCAAGAAAAGTTAATTTGAGAAATAATATGATGATTGAAATTTCTATAAGATTTGAATGAATTATCCGAATGAATTGAGAAAACCGAGCATCTTATTGAGTAAATGAGCATAAGTACTTAGTATATTTATTTATATATTTTTATGTAGCTTGAAGAGATTGCTATACGAGAACAACACTTACGAATTTACAAACGACGAAAGGTGGGGACCCAGACTGGGTATTACATTGAGTATAATATTGATATCATGTCCGAGGTATGTAAAAGTTTAAGTTTATACGCTTGGGAAGAAGGCTGATGAGTTGCCTTACGAGTATTTCCTAAGTTCTAATCGAGGCCGTTGAGTTGCCTGAGAAATATCCATTAGATTGTGCACAAGTATCCGATGAGATATCGGTGAGATGAAGTTGAGATACTGGAGGAGTTTAAGTCCAGTTATATACCGGAGATCATGATATTGTATTATTATTGCTGTTTACTTTAGTATGGGTGTTTTTCGGGGTACAAGAGGATCGTACTCACCCCCATTGTGTTTTTCAGGAAACAGGGTCGGACCGGAGGTGTGAGCTCGAGACGTTGTGGTGGTGGTTGTGCATTTCCAAGGATTTTTATGAAGTCCTTAATAAAGTTTGTATAATAAATCACGCTTTCGATTATTCCGCTACGCATATTGACTATTGAACTTGCATTTTCTTAAATGAATTTATGATTTGAAGTTTTTATAAATTTGAGAAGGATGGATATGGTTAAATGCAAGTTTAAAGAAAATCTATTAAGGATGGATATGGTTAAATGCAAGTTTAAAGAAAATCTATTTAATTATGTCTAAAAGAGTTATTAGACAAGAGGTTAAAGATAAATGGATTTTCAAGATGTAAGGTTTAGTAGCATCTCGAAATAGTCGCAAAAGATTTCGAAAGAGATATAAGTATTTTCGAAGTAAAAGTTGCGAAAAATTTACTCTGATAAGCAGGGTGTTACAGTCGGCAACAATAAAATCGACCCGATGAGGAACAGTACCACCAATGTCTTCAAATCGTATAGATCTTTCACCAACTTCAGTTCTCCAAGTGCAAGCCCAGCCTAACACAAACAAAATTAGCAAACGCAAAAGTCAAATCAAGTGCGTGGATCACATAAATTTACCACACGAAGCTAGAAACAGCTTGATGAAAACAGATAAAAAAGTGATCTTACTCTAATAGTAATATAGGAAGCTGGAATGAGGCCAACAACAGTTGCCAGAAAGAAAATATGAAATGGTATGTCCACAATTGGCGATGCCAAATTGATGAACAGTTTTGGCAGTGTCGGTGTTACTCTCAAAAAGAGCATGCAATTCAGCAATTTCTCTCTCCTCTTTGCTATCTGAAAAAAAAAATACACTCCCATTGTTCTCCAACTCTTCAGAAAAAAAAAAAGAACAGAAAACAACAAGACGGAAAAAATGGTACCTCAGCCTGGAAAAATCTGTGTGTTTCAGGCCACAACCAGTTGACAATAGGTATGCCAATGAGTTTGGACAGAAAATAGCAGCAAGATGCCCCAGCAGTTGCATTGAAGACAACAAAGAAAAGACCTCTTACGACACCAAAAAGTGCTCCAGCGAATAAGGACATGAAAATAGTGTCGGGGGATCATGAATGTCTGCATGAATATGTAAGTCGAGCAGTAACCAAGAATGAACTTAGCCGGGTACACTTGGTGTAACGCCCCACTTTTATTTGCCAAAAAACAGAATAAAATTTTTCAAATTTATTTCGAAACAACTGAGGCGCTACCCCTTTTTAAATCAAACTTCAATATTTAACCATTTTTTTTTCAATACTCGATCATTCATCAGACTCAATCATCAATCGTCAACAATAATACTAACTCCAAAAAAAAACGAGTTTACTAAAATTTCAGAAATCATCACCCAAACCGGGTTCCAACAATATCCACAAATTTTAAGGAGCATCTCCTTAACATTATTCAAGTCATAAAATCCAATATTCATAAATGCAATAATACTCCAAATTCATAGTCATAAAATCCAGAATTCATAAATGCGGAAGCTTAACAAATAATAAGACCGGTCATATAGAGGTCATATAGACCGACCACCACTCGCTCTACTCCGCCATCGTGCCTGCCTCGTTTAACCTGAAACGTGAATTTCAGGTGGGGATGAGC